CTGAACTAAATTTTATAACAAAATGTGTGTATGTGTGCGTATCCAATATGTAAAGTTATACTATATACTAGTTGGTGGCATTTCATATCCCTCCTCTTATTCCAATCACAACTTTTTTCTTCTACAGTTTTTTGTAAATTACGTTCGTCTTTACCCGAAGACTTCTTCTGCAGCGTAGTTGGTCACTCTCTATGATTAACAAATTTGTATAAATATCATCTGAATATCTATTTTCCATAAGAGTTATTTCAATAAAACAAAATATTATTTCACTCCCTTTCTTTGTATTTAATCGAACAAACCAGAATTGGAAGTTGTAGCATTTCCCCGTAATAACTTTTCACTGTTTTATAAAACTTACAAATGTTCTGTGTTACTTTATTTTAGACACCTATGTAATTTGCCTCACTAAAATATTGTCTTCGTACAGCTTGCTATGTACATTCTTTTCCATGTGTACAATAATAATTTATAAACGTGTGTTTTATTGTCAAGATGTGGCAACTAAATCCGAGATATGACTCGTAACAGATGCTTCGTAAAGAATAAACTTAATTATTCTAAACAAATCTAAGCAATTCATTATAAATGTCATAACATGAACTGCTCAGCAAATTAATTAATTAAGACGCGCAGAAAAATCAATTTCTGAATGTAAGAGAATCGTTGGAGAATGTAAAGTGATGAAATTTGGTCAACGGCTAAAAATAATGTTTTTTTTATCAGTATTAAAATACAGAAAATTATAGAGAGAAATTCCGAAAAGGTTTTGACATGCATGACATCATCAGGTAATTACTTATCGTCATAAATTCCACAGAAGTAATTTCGCAATCCAATGAATGCTTTGTAAAATTTTTTCTATTTATAATAGAATTTAGAGCAGACAGAGTCTTTCTTTTTACTTTATACGTAAACGTATAAAATGACATTTTTCCACAGAAATAAGTAAAATTTACATAATGACATGCTCTGTGAAAAATAAGTAGCTATTCGTCCGAGAAAAAATGTCAAGAAATTTTCAAACGGTAATACCATATAGTCGATTATTTTTTTCGAAAATAATACTGTTCGACGAACCATCACGGTGCGCATGCTTATGCACGTATAGTCGTCACGTTAATCCATTGCTCTTCTGCTGTATAAAGTACGGATGTCACGTTGTCTCTGGAGAAAACGGTGGCGCGTTTTCCTTGTGGAATTACTACCTTGCAAAACACCTCCTAGTCGCCGTCGTCGACGGCACGGTGGTAGCATAGCGCCACAATTTATAGAGATTAGCCCACGCGGAGCGAGAACTTGCGAATCGTGCCGATCGAAATAGCCGCGAAACTTTTCCGTCGTATTGTTATCCTGGAAAGACGTGAAAAAGTCTGGCATGGGAGATGCGGGAAACAGCGTTGTGAGACTGAAACGACAGTGGATGCACGATAAGAATGTCTCCGGGGTGCGATGCAAGTCCGTCCCAACGTCCTCGTTGCAAGAAGAGCTGAACAGATCGTGAAAATCGCACGAACGTTTTTCCACTTGGCATATTCGGGCATTTTTACGTTCGTATGACTTTTCCGTAGATGTCTAAAGAAGTTTGATATTTTTGCGTCAATCAGTCAATAAGTAAGAGAACAATTGCAGACTGATTAAAGATAAATACGAAATATAAATATGAATTTTTTAATATTAGTTTACAAATAACGTGAAGAATAATACATTTTCACATTTCTTCTAATCTTTATATTTTTCTCATGATTCTGACTATATTTGATTTGTAATTTTGAAAAAGTGGAAAACGTATTTACATAGAAGTATTATTATATATCAAGATTTATTTTTGATCGCATTTGGTATTATTTATTTATGCATTTTATTATTAGATACGTTAATATCAATTATTTCCATTATTCGATTGTTTTCTTTCTATTCATCTCTATGTTCCTATTATGGAACATATAATTATAATATACTTATTTTATTTTATATACCTGCACATAGGTTAATCAATGAAGTACTGTTTTTGTATTTCATAATATATTGAAAATTGCACAAAAATAAAAAAAAAACGTATGGATTTTAAATATGCAGAATGTCCTAAACTTTGTACGATAATAGTTAATAGGAAATTCTTTATTTTTGAACTATTTTGAGCATAAAAATAGCTATTTATAATGATCCCAATATCAAAACATTGAAGCTACAATAATTTTTTAATGAGAGCTATTCATAATTGACTAATTAAATTATCCGAAATTCGTGTGCTTGAATGTGATATAGTCTTTGACATTTTCGTATTAGGATCTTTATCTCGAAATAATTTTTCACGCGAAGTTTATGGAACACAATAATAAAATTTGTATCAAATATTTTCTATCCGATGTATTCTAAGAACACGTTATACAATCAATTTTTTTTACAAGTAAGAATGCAAGAGAGAGAGAGAGAGAGAGAGGGAGGGAGGGAGGGAGGGAGGGAGAGAGGAAGTTGCGATAATATCCGAGCGAATTTTTTATTTTTAAAATTTTATGACGCGATTAACCGCAAATATCAGATACCATTGTTTAGATCACTTATTTATTCACATTTAAATAATTAAAAAGATAGATTACGTTACAAAACAATTTTAGATTTATTATCTTCTTAGGCACTAAAAATTGATCTAAAGTAAATGATAAAATCCTTCAGTAGTTTGACATGGAAATATGAAAGTATTCTGCGATGTCTCTTCTTTATGTTACTAATAGACGCAATAATATAAAACGAAAAGTTTCTCGCATCGCTAAAATAACCGATAATTATCGACTTTACAAAGTAAGCTTCTTTAATAGTACTTATGAAATTAATAAGCAGCTCGTAAAGTTGGAAATGATGTCTTTGTGCTTGTCTGCATAAAAGTATATCGGAACTGTATTATTATATTTAATGCATACAGATCTCATTTCAAGTAATTTAATATTAATTAAAAATTTATAAATCCACAAATATTCGCACGATTTTATTTTATTAATTTAACGCATAAATTAATTGCTGCAAGAGAAATGGCCGTCGCAAGATAAAAGCGACATCGCATAATCAATTCGAAATATTGCAATACATCTACCTATTGTCGAGGCTAACTAATTAACGAAGGATCGAATAAATCAATGTATTTCGTGCATCGATTTACGCAACACGTGGTCTCTGTATAGCTGATCATATTGCGTCAGGATGAGAACTAATTATCCTCTCTCATATCAATGATATGTAATCACGCTGTCCTCGCTGTTAATACGATATGGAGATACTAAAGGGCTGACACATAAATACTCTCAGACTGAACGATATTAATTATTTGAAATGAAATACAATTCTACATAAAGTATCATTGCCTCGAAGAATGCTTTTTTGATTGATGTATAAATGCACGTTCTTATACGGATGCATCAATAGATGCTACTTTATTGCTGAAATTTATCTGAAAATTCAAAATTTTATTGTAGATATTATTTATATTCTCATAATGACTTTATAATTTAATATGTTCATTTGTCGTAAAATCTTCTAATATATTTAATACTATTACTATCACTATGTGATATACAATAATTATATGTAAATTATTATGTGTAATACATTATTATGAATAATACATAATATATAGTGATATTATTATAAACTATTGTGAAATACTGAATAACTTGATGTAAAGAGTAATCGTCTATCAAACGGAAGATCTAGGTTTGATTTCCGTTTCTATTATTTCGTTTACAGAGTATAAGCGTTATTTCATTTTTTGATAAGTTTCCAAAATGTATAGTCAGATTGCTTGATGCGAAATCGTTGGGAAAAAGGAAGATATTCATGGAAATGTCAATATATCGCGTGTGAAGGAAAAAATAATACTAAAAATATATAATAGTGTAAAGTACATTATTTTGATTTATGTAATCCGATCACAAATTGCTGTTCTCAAACTCGACGTATTGGCGAGCAGCAGAAATCTTTCGATTTTCATTGTGTGCAATGTCTCACGAACCACTTGAGTGTTCTTTGAAAGAGCAATAGTGGAAACCGAGACAACAGATCTCTGTAACGTCAATATATAGGATTTCGATGAGGTATTTCGTATCCATTCCACTTCTTCTAGAACCTACCGCCCGTTATCCGATGGCACTTTCCACGTTCGTACCATCCTCTTTTAGCTCGCTCTCTCGCTTTTTACTTATTTTATCAGGATACTGGATACGGTATTAAATTCTTAAAGGATGGAACGGCACGGATTTACTTCTACGATTCGCCGCTCTTAATTCCACGGCTGTCTGTTTTATTTTTAAGTTTATGACTGGATTTTTTAATATATACGACGAAACTCGTGAAACAGTAATACAGTAAACGTATAAAAAGGAAATTGGATATATATGAATTTTCGAACGAATCATTCTCGTCTCTATGTGAAATAAATTATAATATTGAGTGCGAAAGAAAATGTGAATTATATATTCAAATTAGCTACTCGAGATGCATAGAATTTATTTTCAGTTCGGTCACCGGAATACAAAAGAGGATTTGGTAATGTAAGTATGTCTTCCGGTTTATTTTTTACTTTTTAATGTGTGTGTGTGAATTAGCGTATTTGCAGATAAACGAAATCAATTTACTAAGTATATATTCCAAAATGAAACGAAAATGAAATAGTTCGGGAAACATGTACGTGGCTTGGCGAAATGAAACGATCATCTTATGTCATTCATATCGCGAACGTTTCGCGTGAACTGCCTGTTTCATGTCAGTCGAGTCACAGTCCAAAAAAGGACTGCATCTCGATCCAGGCGAGCCTGTTTATTCACGCTACTTCGTTACGCGTACTCGGCTGCAAAGCGAAACTATGTCGATTTCAGTGGAAAACATACCTCGTGCCAACAAGCGCTACTCGTTTCATTTCGTTTCGTTGCGCCACGCACGAACGCTCGCGGCGTCCACTTTTTCATTTTTCGAAAAACGATAGTCGAAAGGCAGTGCACGGTACTCACGTCATATCGTTCCTGGATGTGCGGTCCGGCTTGTGCGATGTATAGAGTGCTGGCGGTATCGAATACTAATTCCTGGGGGATCCTGGTAACCTTTTGTCGGGCCATCTCGTGGCAATTGAGGTATAAGATGACGTCGCTCGTGGAAACCTTAATGACAATCTTTGACCATTTCTTCGTAAGCTTTGGCACGGTAAATTTTGTCACCTCCTCCGAATGTGAATGCTCATCTGAATTCGTGTAGACCAGTGAGACATTCTGGTTCGAGCCTGGTCCATCCTTCGAGAACGATCGAAAAAAACAAATTCCTGAATCTATTTTCACATTTTGCTTTCTAATTGTAATTGTTCAAATATAAACGCTTGCGTTTAGTTTTTCGACAAATCTGAATCAAATGGCACAGTTACTTATATTGAATCTGTGAAATCAATTTAATTTATACTGATTAAAAAATTAAGTACTAATTAATTTTAATGAATCTAAATAACATAACTCATATAAAAAAAGAATGAATATTAAACTTTATAATAACAATAATTTAAATTTGCAAATCTCGTAATTAAAGAATATAATTGAGTTCAATAGACCCACCGTTATAACTCCGAAGGGCTATAATTGTGTGAGTTTCATAAATCTACTATCAGTTTAGGAGGACTATGGAATTAATTATTATGAAGTTAATTATTGATAAAAATAATTTTGTAGTTTCGACATAATATTTCGTTTTAATAAAACATTAAGAGAATGATATAAATTACAATCTCGTGAAAAAACAAATGCATTTTTAAGAAAACTATAAAAAACAAATATCAAAAGTTATATACTTTAACAATGTTTTTCATTGTATATCATTTCATTGTATTAAGCAATAGTAATACCTATTATTTGAAAATATTTTACAGCTTCATTGAAGTTTTTTCTAGATATATTTAAAATATTCTAGGTTGTTTATTGTTTAAAACCAGGATTGAAAAATTCAGTGGGTTGAAAAAATCATAGCAAATTCCATATTTTATCCGGATTTTATCCAATAGAATAAACTGGCAAAAACTATAAAAATAACGAATAAGTAATACTAAAAAATATATTTATATATAAATATATTTTTTAGTATTATTGTTTTATATATATAATACATTATATTTTACATGAATAGTACAATTTACTAATTAAAAAAAGATATTTTTGCTTTAATTAATAAATTATACTATTCACAAGTTTAAAGAAAAACGAAACGATTCCACACACACACACACACGCGCGCGCGCGTACGCGCACACTAGTAATAGAAAACTTTATAATGAAGCCTTTTTAAATTCAAATTAACACGTTTTTAAAACAAGTTTGGAGAATATATATAAATTATATATTTTGTATATTAATTTTTAGTTTCAGAAAAATAGTAACAGAGTTAAAAATTTTTACCAATATGGATTAGTTCCTTGTGACAAGAAACTAATTTATTTTTTACGTCGATTGTTAATCTATTATGAATTTTAATTTGGATAAAGCTTAAAAACATTCATTCAATTGACGCTACTGAATATTGTAATAATAAAATTAGAATAATAATAACTAAAATACTAATTATAGAATATCGATAACAAAATTTTCTATTTATGTTGTTGTTCTTAATAAAAAGACCAATTTTTGTCTGAAAAGTATCAATTTTTACTGCTGGTATGGACTTTATCTAAAAAATACGGAATTTTACCAACTCTGTTTAAAACGCATACATATTTTGTTAGCATATTATGAAGTTATTATCTAAACGGTACAAAATTTTGATAAGAAATTTTAAGATCGAATGTTCAATGATATTGAAAAAGTTGAAAAATATAAGATAAAATCATATAAAAATTATGGTATATTTTTTCGTATTTCTCTTCTTTATTTTTTGAACATTTAAAATTAATTATTTTAATTATGATGCAAATCAAAATATCGTTTGGAAAGTACGAAAGAAAGGGAAAGTAATTTTAGAAAAATGACAAATTTATATTGTCCCCTTACAGAAATGTATAAATTTAATAACTAGCCAATTTCGTAATGAAAGATAATGATTAATTATTTCGAGTATTAATGCATTGTTGTTCAGTACTTTTAATACTTGAAAAATAAGTATATAGTTAATCACTACCTTCCAGTATTAGATTTTTATAAGGATCAGTTATGTAAAATTTACGTGAAAAGTAGCGTGATGATGAAATGAGTAATCATTCTTATTTCATTTGGATAATATTTATCTATTCATGAAATGTGCAGTGTCATAAGAATATCACGTAGCTATTTTGATAAAGCACGTTTAAAGAGCTAGTAATCACCTAGCTGTTAAAGCGGATTCCTTCATGATTTAATATGACGTCATATATCACGCTCATCCTTTCATTTCCGCAAGACATTTGCTCCTCAATCTTATACGCTATTATTTTCTCTGGCATCACGCCTCGCTGCTTTAGCAGAATCCGCCCATAATCAATAAAACCACGTAACATTTTAGATAGAGATCTCCGAAATTCTAAAGATAATTTGTCATTGAGTCTTGCGCTCTGCCTCAGCTGCAGAAAAAGTTGAAAGTTCAAAAAAGCTCGAAGTTATTACGCGTGGCTTACCGAAATTCTGATGCCCAATTGGACAACGGTTTCGAAGGGATTAAGAACGGCGAAGAGGTAGCTCGTTCTAAAAGAGGTCGGTTTGAACGTGGCCACCAGGGTGAACTCGGCTGGCAACTTTTCCGGGAGATATAGCCTGTAGGGTTGCTTCACTTCGGATCCGGGTCGAAAGCCAAATGCCGGAAATCCGTCGACGCCGTCATCCATGTAAAGATTATTATCATCTGTCATCGATGACACCGATGCCTCCATCAAATCGTATACCACTTCTGAAAACATAAATGTCAATAGTTTCTATTAAATTACGTTTAATCGTGGCAAAATTTGCGTGGCCGTTAAATGTTGACAGTTTGAACAACTAATTAACCTAACGATATTAAATTATCATAATGATATTAAATTGAAATACTGCATAGATTGATAGGTAATCAAGGTTATTTGGGAGCAAATTCTGAATAAATTAATGCACGCGTAAATTAATGTTAGAATTATTGGCGTCATTTGGTTCGTGAAATAATTATTAATATCAAATGAGTAAAGAGGGCCATGTTTAATCAAGACGGATCTTAATGCCTAATAGTTGTGTAAATTTTTACAATTTCTGCTTCAAACGAACTGCATGCCGGTTATTTGTCGCTCTTTGAAACAGTCTTAGACAGAAAAGCTGGAATACATAAATTAACAAGCAATTTAATATTATTGGTGCTAATAAGCATCTTTAAAACACTGTAAATTATTGTGAATTATTCAACATGAATTATTATACATAACATGTTTTTAAATGAATATCTTAAATAATGCATCACTTCTCATATGTATATTTTAGCATAATGTAAGGGTAGTCGATAGATATTTCAAAATAATAAAAAAAATTATTAAAAAATGATAAACTATTTTTAATTGCATTTAAAAATAATACAATAAATTTTTTTTTAGTAATGGTTTACCATCAAGATTATAAGTTACTTTAATAAGAAGTAGTATTTTTTAAATCTGTGCTTTAATAGAAATCTATGGAAATATTTTAAAAGATAAATGACAAAAATCTCAATTTTTTAATATAAAGATTTTACGTATTTAAACGATTATTTATATAAAGTTACTTTGTGATGCAGAAATTAGTTATCCAGTAAATAAACAAAATATTTATTTGTTATAAATAAAAAGTTGCAATTAATCGGTAAATCGCAATAGAACTTCGTATAAATTATTTCGAATATTTAAATTATACAAAAATATTGTATTTAGATTTTTGTTATTATTTTTAAAATTTAATTTTATGATAATAACAAATAAGGTAAATAAGCTATAAAAATACATTGTTTAAGCAAAATATAGAACGTTATGTACATCACTTTCATAGGTATAAGTTCGTTGAAAGTATAAATATTAATGTATGTGTGCTATATATGTTTAGCGAACATTTTTAATGGAAATCCAATGAAAATAAGATTATGTAATTAAGAAATTTGTTGAAAACGGAACATTTTACGAAAAAGAGACTTTTCGCGAGCTTCCGAGAAAAGTACGGAGAAGTAATTCGAAGCGAATGTAGAAACTTTAATTAATTTTTCGCTCGCTAGTTTGTGAGATTTATACGTGATATTCTGATAAGATTATTTTCTCAGGCAGAAAATGTCTAATGACTGATACACTGTTAAGTTCGCCAAATTCTGTTAAATTGTGACGTGTCGAGAAATCGTAACAAACGAGAGGCCGTAGTTATTGAATGTAAACACGTTAAAAAATAAAGCTTGACCAAAATTAAAGCATATTAAGTAATAAAAATTGTCTGTTGGCAAACAAATAAAATAAAAAAAATATTATAATTTATTATGAAAATATTTTGTGTCAGGATTTACTTACAGAGTAAGAGAGTTTCATATTTTGCGTACGAAATTCTTTTAATATTAATAATCACTGAATAAAAAAGTAGAGCATAGTTTCAACATTACGAATCGTGACACTGCATTCGTGTGTATAGTGTGATTAAGATCATAATTCTTTAATGTACGACAACACCATTTTGTACGCCATATGTCATATTCCGGTCCATGACATCCGATACACCGCGTAATATTCCGCAGCTGAAAGCTCGATAACCGATATTTATTGTCGGAGACATGAGTCGGCGCAGTAAATCGCATTAAAAATTTTCCTGCCGACTAGATGTCGACACGGTTGACTAGTCATTAATAAAAGACTTTATTGCGCTAAATCGAAGCCGTTACCGAACAATAAGTATCATAGACAAATGACTTATTAAAGAAAACTTAAAATATAATTGTTTATTCATGATAAACGTAAAACCATTCATACAAATCATATTGTCAATTACAGATGATAACATTTTTCCTATTTTGTATACGTGCATATACACGGAAAGAACGAATTTGTTGAGGTATCTACAAAATTAGTTAGATACTGAAATAATTTTATTGAACATTTAAAAGATTTATATATGTAGGACTTAAACTAATTGCTAGAATATAACCAAATTTTTTCAGCTCATGAAAACTCCTATATAATGTACACTTGAAATTCCTATGTAATTATTTTAATGGTCCAGCAAAACTATTTTTAGATCTATATTTAGCTGAATTTTAGAAAATAACAAAATCGTTCTTTGTGTGTATATGAAAATTCACTTGTGTTTTTTGATGTGAAAAGTGAAAAGAAATTAAGTGAAAAGGATTATTTTCGGATTTTAGGCTTAATATTTTACTGAATTTTACAATTTCTAGTTAAACATTTTACAATTTTAAATTTGGAAATTAGAAGAAGCGAAAATTGTTAAAATTCGTACAAAATATATATTATTAGGCACTAAGAAATGTCTAGACAGAATATGCTCCTCTTCGCTTAATTGTGTTGAAAGCTTCTCGGTCAAATTTCACTTATAATATTGAGAAAAGAAAATAATAATTGAGACATCCGAATTGAGAATATATGTATTTCGAAATAGTATTCTGTTGGGACTAATAAAACATCGTTCACACTTCGCTTCATATTTTCTTCTCATACATAGTCTCCTATCACAAGCAGCTGTTCTAATAATAAAATTCGTGAGTAACCTAAAAATGTTTGATGAAAATACAGGTAACAGCATGTCGACGAATGGTATATAAGTTAAATTTTCACCATGCCCGAAGTAATTTTCAAATTGCATTTGTGACCACACCATATTCTGTAACGTATTCTACCTCGGAATATGTTCCGCCACAAAAGCTTTGATGAGTGCGCGACGAATTTTGGTTCTCGCATTTGGTTTGTTCTCTACGGACTGCATTTTTCGTGATCTGCTACGGAGTAGTTTTTCTATATGCAAAACTAAATTAATGTGTTATTCGAGTAAGCATCAAATATAAAATTAAGCTAACTGCTAACTCATTCCCGACTCTGAATATACTCTGATTCGCGAGAATGTGAGAATTAATGTTTTTACTTGATCTTCTCATTTAATAACACGAGCGAAAATATTTTATAAATTTACTTATAAACGGAAATTCCAACGTAAAAAATACGTTTACACTACCTTATTAATAGTAAATTTCATGTAATTTTTACGCAGTGAGAGAATATTCCATTTGCACTTTTCTAATTATTTTTGAACATTTATTTCTCGATTTTTTATTTTTCGAGATAAAACTTAAAAGTCAATTTCGGGATTGCTACCATAACTATAGAAAAAAATCGGCATTTCAACACAACAAAATACTATACGTAATTCCTACGTGCACGCGTAAAGTCTATAGAAAAAGCTTCCATTGTTTTTTAAATTTCGTAAGTGCGATGAAATGTTTTCGTATACCTTATGTTTTACAAAAAAACTGTTAATAAACGTTACCAAACGTAAATAAATAAAAAAATGCTTTCGCTCGTGTTATCAACTGAGAAGATCGAGTAAAGTCTATAAAGAAAGTTTTTATCGTTCTTTTTATTTCAAAGTGGATATTCTGCTCGATGCACTTCCTATATATATTGTCTTCCGATTTTCAAGACAGACTTTTTAATACCTATTTAAGACATCTGCAACAACAGCAGGAAAGATTTCAATGCTTGATAGATTGTAGCATGGAATTGAGGTGTGTGGTGATTCGAACGCCGGCATAGGCATCGACCAGGCGACACCTCTTGCTTGGGTATGCCCTCCTGACGCAGATCTCTATTTTGCGCCGAAATTGCGATAGGCCCGAGTCATTTTAAAGTCCAAACTAGAAGCAGCGTATGTGCAAATGGGAAAAACGAGACGCGAACAATAATTGAAAGTTCGAGATTTAATGATCGAGCGATTATTTCGAGTAAGCACTTTCTTTACGCGATTCAGTCAATCGCCAACGTACCAACGTGTGTACTTTTGTGGAAGTCGGTTTATAATAAGACAATGAAGTTTCATTTATATTGAAATTCATTTCAACTTCGATTAATATTTTTCTTACTAATTTTGAAAAAAATTAATCATCACCCGGTACACGTGCATTTTTGTTAAATTCATCGTATACAAGAGATTTATTATTGAATAGCTTCGGCTATTATCACATTTCAGAAATTATAGATGAGATCTTGCGACGATATATCTACGTTTTATAATAACCGTAAATTAATAGCAGTTATCATTTTTTCGTCACATGATAAATGCTCGATATTTCCGTGTAAAATAATAAATTATTGTTTTCGCAAACCATGAAGAGTCATATCGACGGCACGGATCAAAATGGGCTTTATTGCTTATCGATTCCACGATTGCATTCCGCTTCAATAAATTAGAGCTTCCATCATTTTGTTTCCATGATGAGAGTACTCTAAATACATTTCAGCACGAAAGTAGTTTTGAATTTTCTAGAAACGTGACAATATGCATGAAGTGTACAACGTGAGGCTGCCATACTTTTGTCCGACGGTAATTAGGTAATAAACTCGACACCGCGGTTATAGCGCTTGAAAAAATTATGATGAATTATTGTAATAACGGTCCATAATGCACGATTTTATGCGAGTCTGCTTCGCCAGTAATCCCTGTGTCTTCCTTCGTATTCCGCGTAAATCCATTTGCATAAATCCGTATGCCAATTCGTCCTGTCAGTTCGTTACAACTTTCCTGGTTGCGCATACAAGAATCCATGAATCACGCAAATCGAACAAACGCAGAATGTTTCAGTACGAGTCAGGATGCAAATGTCTTCTTTAAACTATCGACGTGAGTGTGAAAATTGTTTCCATGTCGATTTTTTTATACGTTTTTACGAAGCTGCTTACGAAGATACTTTTT